GACTCAAAAAAATTATTATAAGTACTTCAATGTATATACTATTAGATGCCATGAAGCACATTTCAATAAATGTTTGTCTATACTGCTAAAAAAAATCGTGAAAATCATCTTATTTTCCGCAACCCAACTGAGTATAACCCCTTAAATATTAAATATAGCTAACAAACTAAAAATTTTAATTAATCTTTGAATTTGAGTTGCAATAGTTCAGCTTTCTATTAATTTAGAATAGCTTAAAAAATATACATATGTTACAAATGAAAGAAAGGTCATCATTTGATTACGGAGCATTACGAAGCACAAACTCTCATCTGTCATCAACAATGATAACTCGCCAACTTTCCATTTATAACCCAATTATGCTTTGCTGATATACACAACGTAGCACCAACTCAAACGACCATTATTACTCTTTGTAACCCACGCGAAAGTCTCTAAACACAGATTATCCTTTTTGGTATCTCGTAAGTCCCGTAAGTACCTGATGTCAGGTGTTCTTGCATCAGCTGCAGAACTATCAGAATTAATCTCTATGAACTTGCTTACGTAAAAAACTAGAATTACTAAACAAAAAGATATGTTCTGACATAATATGCAGCAGCCAGTATTACTTTTAATCAATAGCGATTACATATTATTTATCACTTTCTTTTTCCATTTTCCCTCTCTCTATATAAAATTTTTCTGAAGCTTTTTTATTCATTTTGCTGTATTGAGCTTAAAGCAACTTAAATGAATAAACAATATATATTGCTGAGACTCTTACGAGAGCAACAATTACGCATCCAAGATGCATGTTTTCATTGCACTATTGATCAATAACAATCACACATTATGCTCATCAGCTCTCTCATTCGTGATCTTATATGAATCTCCCGCGCGACTACAGTAATGCACACTGCAAGTCCAGTAGCGAGATCATTACTCTCAGTACTCTCTCCTCTGGTAGCTTCACTGAAAGTTGCTCAAAAACGCGCGACAGCATCTTTTTCCCCTCACCTCCTCTTTCTTCCCTCTGTTCTCAACATACCAGATATTCCGTCCGCTTGTCAGCAGGGATATGGCAGCATCTCCAGTCTGGAAAACGGGTCGCATTCTTCACTGGAGCACTGTTTACACGACAGGTTGGACGCCATGGTCACTGTCGTCAGAAACGAGGAAGAGCAGTCCTCAGGGACGGCGTGTCCTTCGTCCTGTCGATGGTGACGGTGGCGGTGGTGATGTTCTTGTGCTCTTTCCACGGTATCCTACTTGCGGAACGCGGTCTCATCGATGGGAGGACGCAACACAAAGGACGACGGCCACTTGTACGCTCATCTCCGCGCGGAATCTTCTCTTGCCGACGTACGCGCACATTCAGAATACGCCAGTCAGCCTTGTTCTCTTGTTGGTCACCCCGCAAAGCTTTTCTCACCCCTTTTTCCGCTTCCCCTCTTCATCTGCCCACCTGTCCACCTTCAACCCCCTCGCTCGATCGCGCTCAAGCGCGCGTCCCTCTCGCTCTTAGCCGCCCTGATCCGAGGGCGCGAAACTGCACACTCCGGGGGTTGCACTCCGCACGATGACGCGCCTCTGGAGGCTTTCGCGACACTAAACTACCCTTGGAACTAGCACCACGCCCTCCGCGTAGGTGGCACCACCGCTCGTTAACCCCCTTTTCGAGGCCAAAGCATCTGCTATTAACAGTAAGTCTCATTCGAGAGTCCTTCGTGTGGTCTATTAACCATGGTGCTTTCTCTCTCACTCTCTTTTCTGTTTTTCTATCTCCTTATTCGTTTACGTTTTCCTTTTACACATAGTTTCTTCCCTGCTGGAATTTATCTCTTTTTCATGGTAAATATATTCATAAAAGAATAAAATTTTGCGAGAGGTTGAAGAAAATAACTTTTAAATTTAGCAATTAAATTAATATTATAATTAAAAAATATAGATATGCAAATATATAATAATAATTTATTTAAATATTTTTAAAAAGAGTCAAGTTTGATTATCATAATTTTCACTTCTTGATACGTTTTTATTGGAAATATCCATGCAGATGTAACGAATGAATATGTAAAATGGAAGCAATGTAATGAGAAAATTAACGAAATATTCTCTTTTCAATATCAGTATATTCTTATTTATTTTGTTATAAATAATTTTTTTAAGTTTAGTTAATTAAATATGTAGATATTTCTTTTACATTTTTAGTAAAAAACTTTTTTAGGTAAGAAATTCTAGATTTTTGCTAAGCTCAATTCTTTGATCGACTTCGATATTTACAAAAACATTATAGGCGCATTTTTATAATGTATTTACTTATAACATTGGATTTATTTAACGCTTGTTTTTTTTCCAAATTCTTAGAATACTTTCGTAAGCACTGTTTCCTGTTTCATGGACTAGAATTTTCATTCTTCGAAAGCGTCGTATGATATTTACAGATATGTACATAGTATTAAATTTACATTATGTAGCTGCTTTTCGAAAAGTGCGAATTCGTTGCGAATTTCGTTGCTAGGCAACAAATCTACAGTGTATATACAACATCATGATTATAATATTGCGATCAGTAAAGGAATGTAATCCTTTGAGTTTTATAATGGTTCTAGCTTTAACGAAATTCAAAAGTTAGTTAATTATGGAATAATTTAACATTAAAAATCTGTAACTTCATTTTAACAAATTAAAATCCACAAGTATGTACATTAAACGGAAGCTAAAGGATGTGTGCTATTTTTTTTTATTGCTAGTCATCATATGATGACGGCCAGCTCTCCGCGTTTTTGTAATCAAAGGCCTGTATATCGTGTTCGAAGTCATCGGCGTTATCCATCATTAAATTCTCGTGATTCGAGTAGTTGGCGTAATGCTATTCTTCGTCAACGATTTCGCAGCTGTGATATTTGCTGGAGGAGTCAAGCCAGCTCTCCACACCGCTGGAAGCTAAGTCATCGCAGGACGGCAGCTCCGGAAGAGGTTCCATGCTCGGTACGCCCTTCTTCGTCAAGTCATTGGCTGCATGTTCTTTGGATTTTTTGTTAACTGAAATAAACGGTCATTCAATAAGATAGTTGATTAATATATATATATAGAATAAATATGTATGTATGTATATATATATATATATATATATACACAGGATGTTCTAAAAGTAACGATAAATCTTTTGCACATACACACACACAGGGGTAGAATGAACTAAGCTAAGAAAAAAAAGTCCTCTACCATTTTGCAATTTTCGCAATAATTAACAAGATATTAATTGTTAAAAATTGCCGAAAAATTGGTCTTCAATCATTTTTTACTCAAATACTATCAACTTTACAGAAAAACTACAAGAGATGAAAATTGTTTATTTTCTTCCCAGATAGCACTGGATATCCCAAGGACGTCCATTTTAAGTCCAAATCACGTCCTCACGTCCATGGACATAAAATGGACGTCCTTGGGATGTCCGTCATACAGATGTCCTATTCAAAACATCCTATGGATGTCCGAATTTGGATTTTACTTTTAAAAAATGTTTTTCTTTATATTTTTATTATATTTGTATTATTTACCGAACCAAGAACCAACAAGTATTAAATAACATACTTTTTATATATTATATATAATAGCTTATATATTAGGTGTTAAACTTAATTCCTGCCGTTTTTCGCCTCCAAAATTGATTTGTTGAATATACTATTTGGGTTCTCATATAACTCTAAAAATTTTTTCAGAATTTTTTATCAACTTTTTAGCATTTTCTTATTTTGTGAGAAACATTTTCTTATTTTATGAGAAAATATGGTATTAAAAAATTCTGAAAAAATTCTAAAAAAAATTCTTAGAGCTCTATGAGAAGAAAATAAACAATTTTTGTCTCTTGCAGTTTTTCTGTAAAGTTGATAGTATTTGAGTAAAAAATTATTGAAAACCAATTTTCGGCAATTTTTAGCAATTAATATCTTGTTAATTATTGCGAAAATTGTAAAATGATAGAGGATTTTACTTCTCAGTTTAGTCTATTCTATCCCTGTGGATGTGTGTGTGTGTGTGTGTGTGTGTGTGTGCGCGCGCGCGCGAAAGATTTATTGTTACTTTTAGAACACTCTGTATACATAAATTAAAACAACACGGAATATAGAAAGATAATTCCTTTTTTTTTTAATTTTCTCTAGTATATATGAAATAGTAATACAGGCTACTTTCCTTTTAAGGAACATAATTGATACAAACGTCGTTTCATCCTTGACATTCATTGAATAACAAAGATAGAACAACATTTGTATCGGCTCTCATATAGCACAGAACTTGCAGCAATATTGGCTACAATAATACTGCAATATTGCTGCAACATGCAATATTACTATAATGTTATAGCATTGTTGTTGCAACTTTTGTGCTGTAGGGGCTGTGTTTCCTAAAAGGAAAGCAACCTTGAGTTCAATTTGGCCTTATTGTTAGTTAATAAATATATTGTTAGACGTCGGTTTTGTTTCTTTCTTGCGATCAACATTTGCTTGTAAGCTCGAGGGTTTCTATACTTACCGTTGATCCCTAAGCTGGCACTAATAGAAGGAAGACGAATGTCCAAGTGTGATCCTTTGTTATTAATTATCTAAAATTTTAATAAGATTAAAACACGATTGAAGAATAAAATTATAGGAAAAAGGCTTTATATTTAAAAAAAATGACTAATATTATAAATATTATTACATATTAAAATTACTTGTAAAATATTTAATAAAATAATTTTATTAATATTTAATAACACATATGTATGTATATATATATATATGTATAGAAACAACTAGATTTAACAAAAGACAGATAGATGGACAAACAAATAAAAACATATCAAATAAATTGAAATTAAGAAAAAATTATAGTTATGACATTCGATCAGTAAATGACATAAAATCTAAAAATTAAATATAGAAAAGAGAAGTTGTATGTACAACAAATATAAAAACAAAATAGAAATGAAATAAAATGAAACAGAAACACAGTGAATACATAGTAAAATAAAAAGAAAAGAAAAACAAAAGCGAAATAAAATAAGGAATGAAATAAATGATTTTAAAAAATAATGCAAGTGGGAAATAATGAGAGAGAGTAGAGAGAGAGAGAGAGACAGAAAAAGCTTTATGATAAAATATTAACTCAATTTTAAAGTAAATATGATAATTTTTGTATAATTATTTTTAAAAGAATACCTTATTATTCATTGCATACAGCTTCGTTGCGATATCTCGTGCCACAAGCGTAGTTAAAACAGTTGCAAGATAAGTTTCTTTCACTAGCAAATATTCCAAGGCTGATCGTTGCCAATACAAATATCTGCAGGAACTCGCCGCTATGATGGATACCTAAAACATTTAATTTGACTTAGAAATTTCAATGATTAAAATAAAAAATTAATTGAAATCGTACCTTAAATTTATCGTCGACGGAAGCTCGAGAGCTTTCGAATTCCGGTGAATCTAAAAATTCACATGGCAGTATCGGATGTAGAAAACCGTTGATTTCGTTCAAGACGTTGACTTTTCCAGTGAGTAGCAAGCCTAATCTGTCTGTTCTTGTTAGATTCTGCATCGCGTACGCCTCGCCAGCATGAAGAGACATTATCGTCGCAAATTCTGGAGATACTAATCGCTTGAATTGTATTCGTGAGACCTACGCATATTCAAAGTTAAAGGAAAAAGTGGATTAATTCCGAAGCGCATTGCAAAAACTTCTTTCTTCCAAAAAACTTACTTTGAAGGGATAGAAGAGCGTATGATAAGCTTCTTCCAATTCGGGATCAAATCTAATAGGTCTCATTTGATAAATAATATATACTAATTGACCGATATTCAGTAATAAAAAACTGAAATTCCAAGAGAAGATATCTGGTGCGCAGATCACGTGCCAAGCCCATCCCGATAGCAACATGAAACCTAGAAATAAATAATAGGATCAAGAAAAAATCCAGATAGCTAATAGGTATATCTAAAATAGAGACATAAGATGTCTTACAAACATCTTTAAGACGTCTTATGTCTCGACTTTGAACACACACACACATACATGGTGTTGTCTGCGAAATTTATTTAATTGAATTTTAATCAAATGAAATCATCATTTTTTTAATAAGATTTTTTATATGTGTAGTACAGAATTAGTATCACATAAAAATTTACAATATAAAACCACTATGTATTCTTTTCATCGCTTCCATAATGTAAATAATTAACCAATTACTTACCTATTATTAGCACTGAATGCATGAACAAAATTCCCTTTTTTGAGGACGGCGCCGAGTACGACAATGCGAAGCAAAAATTTGCCAACTGGAATAAAATGTGTTGAGGCTGTTGCCACAAACAGAGTGCGGGGTTTCCTTGAAAAGGAGAAAGAAGAATCGATAATTTGATTTATTGTTTTTCATAAACTTTCTGTTCATATAAACGCGGCAATATTTCTGCCGTGCGCAACGTTTTTCATTCATATGGCAAGCAACCCTCATTATAACATGTTTTTACGTCTTTATTTAAAAAATCGAAAATATTACTTATTTTACATGTTTTTAACAAATAAGAATTTTTTAATCAATACGAAAGAATAAATCTCGCTTACAAATGCAAGAATTCCTTTCTCTGGAACTCACCGACAGAAGTGCTGTTGTACGATGGCAAAGGATCACGACCCAGCCCGGGACTCATTTTCGTCAAAGCAGAAATACGTTATTATGGGTTAAAATATGCTATTACAGATACGAGAATCGACTGTTCATATTCAATGATATTTCTCAAACGAGAGCTTGGTGTGTTTTCACCCCTCGCACACGCGGATACTGAAAGATTTTCCTCAGGGCGCATGTGCTAATTTCACAGGATCGATATTGTTTCCCGTCGGTCCGAAAAGATTAAATGTGTAATTTTACAGTACCGATTCGCGATAAAGAAAAATCATATGGTAATGCGTAGCATATATATATATATATATATATATATGTATTAATTTATTCTACAAAAATATTTTTCCTTTTATTGGAATAATTTATTTTTTCTATATGTATATAAATATGTGTGTGTGTATGAGTATGTGTGTGTTTATATATATAATGTTTCTTAAATAACGGTCACTAATCCCTGGTAGAAATGTATGCAGTTTTCCTAGACACCTATCTAATATTACTGTATTCTCATTAATTATGCCAATACTAAGTAGGAAATGGACAAGAACTTGATAGAGTTTTATTCTGTCTATTTCACGAGCAGTTGGCTTTGCTCCTTAATCAATTTAATATTCATTATTTGTTGTGTTTCTATTCAGTAAATGGATTCATCAGATTTTACGCAACTTTTGTATACAGTAACTGCAAACAAAGTGTTACATCCTGATTGGGATCCTAAGTAGTTTCCTTCTCAGTTACTAGACAGAAGTTGGTGTAACTGTTTAGTAACTGCTCAAAAAATGCATGAAATTTCTACCAAGGATCACATAGTAGTACTATTCCTAATAAAAAACTAAATCAAAAAGACTTTTATCATTTTGCAATTTTTGCAATACTTTTTTGGTTACTCAATGAGCAAAATGTCTAAAATCGACGCATAAAATAATTTTAAGATATCTTTAAGGGTTCTTTACGAAACATCTTCAAAATATTTTACAAAGAACACTGAAAGATTAAAATTGTCTTATGCGTTGATTTTATATGTTTATTCGGCAATCTTAAGAAATTAATATCTCGTTATAACTATTGCAAAAATTGCAAAATGGTAGAACTTTTAAACTCCGTTTTTTTATCAGGAATAGCACTATATGATTAATGGGCATTATCTAAGATATTCCTTGTATAATACACATTATTGTTTATAATTTTTTCACATTTTACAAAAAGTTAAGTAACTCGAAAAATAATCGTAGAGAACTAAATTTTCAAAAATGAATTTTAAAGATGAGAGACAGAGCTAAATTAATAAATTTAAATTTATTTTCTTATATCGTTTCTACAATATTTTGTATCCCCCCAAGTCAATTTAATTTGTTTTTTGTAAAATAAAACGGATTTACTATGACAGATAAATTTAACGAGATTTCGTTTACCAATAAAATATAAAGAATTTATTAATGTTGACACATTCTTTTTTTCATCTTCATAGCCGTTATTCGAATCATAGTCTATTCTTACTTTAAGTATAATATAAGTATATTCCTTAAGTACAATGTCTTTTAAGATGCTAATATAGCTGTGTGATTGGATCATGACATCTTCAGACTGTACTTAAAGGACGGTCTTAAATATAAGAATCGATTATTATGAATACTGATCAATATAACTTTCTCAATTTATAAAATAGTTGAATACAATAATTGATATATCCGCAATGTAATCAATTATAGTCATTATACAGTAAAAAAGAAAATGTTAATTTTAACATTTTTTACATGTCCCAGGAGATCCACTCTAAATTTTAAGTTAAAGTAACTCATTCGTCTTGTGTTATTTATTAACAAACTAGTAATGTTAAATAATTGACACGATACTTTACATTTATATTTGTTATTTTGACTTTAAGGGTGATTTAAAATTAACATATGAAATAGTAGAGTACATAGAAGAGTAGTTGTAGTAACTCGTAAGAAAATGTTAATAAAACATTTTTGTTCATATAATGTGAATGAAAAAATTCTTAGATGTTAAATTGACTTTGAGATATATAGAATAATTGAAACAATTGTGTTAAAAACACTCAAAATAATATTCCATTTTTAATTGACATACGCAATTGTTAAGTTAGAAAGGTGACATGAATCTAACACATCAAAATATTACAAAAATAATAACATATCAGTTGTATGTTTATTTTACATTGAAGTAATAATCAAAATGTGGTAACACAAGAAAAATTCTACATATGGACGCACGATTTTTTACTGTGTATTAAGACCGTTTTACTTATTAAAAATGACCCAAGAAAAGCGTAGGATCGAAATATTTAATTGTCTTTGATTCATAATATTCATATTCATCTGAACATCTACAGTTGACTCTTAATATAGATATTTGTAATTCTATTAGCGTTTTCTCTTGGGATACACTGGGTGCAGTCTCACACCGCACCAGTTGCGTGTAAGCGCTACACTCAGCTACAGTGCCTGCTACACTACACTAGAGTGGTGCACACTATGATGTACACTGTATCATTATTATGGTAAAACCCTGTTTTCGCTTGACTTTTATTTTCAAATTTTAAATGTCACACTGGTTCTACGCGGTCTCTTTGAGACGGTGTAGCAAAATCCCACTTCGTGCATAAAATTTGCACTACACCGTAGCCACGGAAACACGGTACACCGAATGAATTCGCTTACCACCAGCCATGGAAACACGGTACACTGTCTGAGTGTTGCACTAGTGGGCGATAGTACAGCCAAGAGAAAACGCTATATGTGTGTGTTTTTTAATATTATTATTGAAACTTTTGTCCTCATTCTTTTTGCTTTATTTAAATTACATAAAATTGTTTTTTCTAGAGATGCACCGGATATCCGGAAAGTATACGGCAGTGCTCGGAATTGCTCATTTCGGGCAGATTCCTGAGGTGACCTCCACTATCACTCGAAACTCGGCGGCCGAGCCGCCGATCGCTCACGTGACGCTATGCTCCAGGAGCGTCGCGATACGAAAAGTATACTGGACCTTTCCGGCAAATATCATTAAAATATTTTCTTTCCTACGTGATTTTTATTTTAATAAATAATTAAAATAAATTTTTTATTATTAACATATTTTATTATTAACATAAAATTTTACAATGTAAAATATTTATGATGTAAAATTTTACTTTATCGAGTCACATATATTTAATTATCCTTTTTTATTGCTTAATGAAATAAACCTACTGAAGAGAAACTATTTGAAAAACGTATCAATAATAGTACTTTCAAGATAACATGGAAAGCCATTGTCCATATTATAATTATCATATTGTAATTT